GACTCTCCCCACCCCACCATATACCAAAACGCTGAGTTTCCATGGTGATAGTCAAATTGCAAATCCAGCCAAGAGTAAGCAGGGGGAAGGAAAAGCTGGCCTCTCCCCAGAGAAGTGGGCACGGCTGGCACTGGGGCTGACACTGGGGCTGGCGCTGCTGAGGACGAGCTCCAGGCAGGCAGGCAGCCCTACTGGACCACGGTGGGGAAGTCTGAGGGATGCCAGGAATCCAGCAGTGGCTCAGGCCACTGTGGAGGGAGCTCCTCCCCCACTCCTGCCTCTTGGTGGCACTGGGCGACTCCATCTGATGATATGTCTTTCTCCGAAAGACTATTGGGACAGGCTTCTCCCTGGTGTTCTCCCATCTTCCATCTGAAAATTCAGGTGTGGGCAGAGTACAGGGCCCCTCGGCAAGCCATCCCAGACTCAGCCTTTGGGGAATTAAGGAGAAAAAAATATATCAGCCCTCAGACACAGAGTGTTACGTTGAGGATGGAAGAGTAAGGGCCAAAAGATGTATGAGCCTGAAAGCTTTGCGGATGGACCTGGAAGACTGACAGTACAGCTGCTGTGCGGGGAGAAAGGCGGCAGTGGCCATCGAATGGCAAATTAGGTGAGGTTTGGGTTTTACAGTGACGTTTCCGGAGTGGGGGTAGAAGGGACGGCTGCTTCCTTCGCATCCCGAGGAAGCTGGGGACATTTGGCCTGCGGTGTTCGTGGTGGGCCAGGGACTTCTCAGCAGGGTTCTCCGGTGTAGGCCTTCTGCACTGGCAGTGAACCCAAGGCTGGTGTGGGTACCGCTGACTTCCTCTGATTTATTTCTTTCGAGTGGTGTTTATTAGAGTGGGTTAGAAATGGGATTTGGGTTTGTACCACAAAGACCTCTAAGCCCCAGCTTGAAATCGCAGACACAATGAGCAGAGAGGCTCCAGCCGGGGAGAAGCATCTGAAAGCCGTGAGCCTGTTTCACTGGCTGCCTGGTACCTGCTCTGTGTCACCTTTGCGAGCTCAGTTGGCATCGGAGGCTCTTCTGCCCTTTTTCACGGCTGTGGCCCTTTGGGGTCTGTATAAAAGGAGATGAAGAACAAGCCAGCTGACTGTAACTTGGGGAGGATTTCTACATTTTTTTTGTTGTTAACCTTTGTGTACACAGGCACACATGGGGACTAGGCCGTGAGACACCCTGACCCCAACCCCACCTCCAGGGTTGCCGTTTTGGATAAAATGCACAGCTCATAACAAATGCCGTCCTCACGATGAGGCGTGGCGCAGTTCACGGTTGTCTTGCGGTTTTCACCTGCTCCCAGCCCGACTCTGTAACCACGTGTGATAGATGACAGAACAGGGCAGGGACGATGGAGAGGGTGAGCTCGCCTCCCTGACCCAGTCCTGGGACATCCCATCCCATCGCCTCCTTCCAAGTCCTTTGGCATCTGCCCCTTCGCACCAAAGGAGCCAGCTAGAGCAGCATGGAGCCCCACCCACTCCAGCCCCGGACTGTGTAGATTTTGCATATTAGCCATGGGCAAGCTGGGCCAGTTCAAGTCAGGAAGCATGACTGGATCTCCCATAAGCATCTCTGCCAGAGAGAAGCGGAGACCGACATGGAGGCAAGCTACCCCGCTGCAGGGACTCTCCTGCTGTGCATTGAAGTGGCCTGGCCTCCGGGGAGGATAAACCATAGCCCTCCACTGTGGCTGCCTCAGGGGTGACGTGGGGAATGGCCTTCTCCAGGAGTCCAGCAGGAAACCCTGCCTTCTGCCACCTCCTCCTAGCCCTTTTTCATGGGACCCATGAAGTTGGCATCTAATCAGTGAATCAAAACTACATAAATGCTTATGAAACTGACGCCCATGAGGTCCAGTCTTGGTAGATTCATGATCAAAGTAGTTCAGTCCAGGACCTGAAAAACAACTGCAAAATGAGGCAGGTTTTGCTTGCATTTGTCACATACTAGGAAGGGGCATGCAGACTACAGCCACACTCCATGACCTCTCCTCTTAATGCTGTGTCACAGAAGTCCGAGGAGCCAAAGCTGAACTCTTCCTGGAGAGCAGGGCAGAAAAAGGCAGCGCCTTTGAGCAGGTGGAGGACGGAAAGGCCAGGCCCCATCCCATGGTCATCACTCCTGCCCCAGAGCACAGGTCGGGCCCACAGAGAGGAGAGCCACACCAGCCTCGTTTGCCTGTGCTATTTGGTCCCTGCCCTCAAGGAACTTCTCGACCTGCTGGGGGAAGCAAACAGGGCATAAAGCAGTTGGTGCAGCTATAGCAGAGAGTATAGGTCATCCAGCCAGCCAGGGCACAGGGGAGACTGAGGGCTTCCTGGAGGAGGTAGTTTTCTAACTAAGCCAAGAGAAGACGGGTGGGCAGGGCATTCTGGGCAGAGGCAAGCCAGTCACAGCCAGAGGTGGCGGCAAGACCCACAAGCCGCAGGAGGCTGGAGGCTTGGGGGAGACAGCGGGTGTCGTGGGATGCAGCTGGAAAAGTAGACAAAGGCCGGGAGCCTGGTGAGGCCCTGGGGGCATGAGGAGCCTTTAAAGAGGGTGAAGCCGGGACCTATGCTCTTGCTGGATCTGGCTATGCAGAGAACACACCGTGGGATGCCTGCAGTTGGGGTCCAGGTGGGGCATCATGACAGGAGTCCAGGTGGCAGGAGCCAACAGCTCGAGTTAAATAAGGCAGTGACAGTGAGGAAGCAGCCGATTCAAGAGCCATGTCTGTGAAAATGGCAGGACGTGAGGAGAAAAGAGGCAAGACCACATGTCCCTGAGCTTCATGAAGCACCTGCTGTGTGCTGGCTGCTCTGCTGGGGTGCACAGGGTTGAGAGTCTCTGGGTCCGCCTGGCAGCAGCTCCAGCCTCTGGGGGTGCACAGGGTTGAGAGTCTCTGGGTCCACCTGGCAGCAGCTCCAGCCTCTGCTTGCTTGGTTCCAAGACCCTTGACACCCTTATTTGAAATGTGACATAGGCTGAAGGCACGAAAGCTTTCCAGTAGCCTCTGGATCTCCATGGAAGCTACCATTTCCCATCCCAGTGCCCACGGTGGATTTTCCTAACTAACCAGGTACTTCCTCCCACTAAACTTCCATGCCGTCTCTGAATTCTCCCTATACACTACTCCAGAAAGGGCTTGGTGGATCAAATGTCACCTGCTAGCCTCCCTCGGTATAGATCGATGTTGTTTCCGGTTTCATCTCCCACCAGCGGGTACTGTGGCTCAGGGCTGTCTGGAAGACTGAGGAGGACGATGCTCACTAAGAACCCAGCGCAGTGCCTGGCATAGGAGCTCAACCCATCCTAACCTTCCTCCATAACCACCAGCATTTGGCATTCCCCAAGGAAAACACTGACAGGTGCCTGACCACTCCTGCCTCATCTGCTGAGTTTCTCGCCTGCAAAGCTGGTTGCCCTTGATCCAGATCTTTCTGTGCAGTTGTACGAGGTATTGCAATGATATCACTTAAATAAATGTTATGTGAATTGACGGAAAGAGTCAGAAAAGAGACAGAATTATTTCATGAAAACCGAGACTTTGGAAAGTCTTTTTTTATTTTTTAAGATGGAGTCTCCCTCTGTTGCCCAGGCTGGAGTGCAGTGACACAATCTCGGCTCACTGCAACCTCTGCCTCCCGGGTTCAAGTGATTCTCCTGCCTCAGCCTCCTGAGTAGCTGGGATTACAGGTGCCTGCCACCATGCCCAGCCAATTTTTGTGTTTTTAGTAGAGACGGAGTTCCCCCATGTTGGCCAGGCTGTCCTTGAACTCCTGACCTCAGGTGATCCACCCACCTTGGCCTCCCAAAGTACTGGGATTACAGGCATGAGCCACCGTGCCTGGCCCTGGAAAGTCTTAATGGAAGCAACTTGCTTTATAAAAATCTGTGGAATTAGGGATGGGCAGGACAACTGTGAAAGCCAAAAGGAAGAGATGGAGAAAGGGAGATTCTGCAGTTGTCCTCCTTCGCCAGGGTCTGTGGGTCCTGCCGAAATTCAGAGAAACTGCAACTGGGGTCGCAGACAACACAGCATGGTGCGGTTTATACACAGGAGGCCACGTGGGCCAATGTTGCAGGAGCACCCAAGCCTGGCATCGAAGGATTGGCGAATGGGTATACATTTCTGTGTTTAAAATTAAAATAGAACGTTTAACAGGTGGCCGCATCCTGCATCATGACTCCCACTGTTGATTACCCAGCCAAACACGGTCCCATTTAGCCCAGAAGAGAGAGTTCCTCCCACAGTGGGTGTTCGCTGTGACAACATCCTCGCCTCCCCCTGCTGGGATTCCAGTCCCATCTGTCTGGCTCCCTTCCACATTTGCAAGACCCCACTGCGAGTTACTGGATGAACTGGGATGAGAGCCCAGGCTTGCCGCCTCCCGGTTCAGTCTTCCAGTGGAGTCAGGGCTGTGAGCATGGCCTGCTGCGAGGAGAATCCCGGCTCTTCCCCTTGGGCGTGTACCCCTGTAGTCTTGCCTGTGGAATGGGGGTAATGCTTTTTCCTACCTCAGAGTTGTTCTGAAGCTTCAGTGAACGTGTCTGTGGAACATGCCTGGGACGCTCCCTCAGGTCAAGCCTGACGCCACCCTCATCCCCACAGAGCATCGCCTTGGACCTCCTGCCTCACCGGGTGGAGGCTTCAGAGCTGCTGTGTCCACAGCGCCGTGATAATCAGCCTCCGCCATGGCGGGCGGGTTCTGGTTCCATCATGGGAACTAAAATGGGGCTGACATGTGGAGATGGCTGGCCAGCAGGTGAACGGTATGCTGGTCACGCTGAGCCTCTGAGTCCCAGCCTCCTCACGCCAGGACTTCCCTCTGTGGCCAGCAGAAACGCGTGCCCTCCCGTCCGCAGGCCATTGCATCTCCTGCCCAAAGCAAAAGGGCCAGCTAGGCTGCTACGCCACTTTGTCCCCAGCTGGGGAGGCCTGTCCTGGCCCCTGTCTGTGCCTGCGGCAGTGTCTGGTTGTGTGACTTCCTGTGCTATGGTCTGTCTTTTCCAGGGGTTTCCAGTGACAGTGACAGTGACTCAGATCTCAGCTCCTCCAGCCTAGAGGACAGACTCCCACCCACTGGGGTCAGGGACTCAAAAGGCGACAAACCCTGGAGGGAGTCAGGTAGGTGGGGAGTAACATGCTGCTTATTGGCCGGGCGTGGTGGCTCACGCCTGTCATCCCAGCACTTTAGGAGACCAAGGTGGGTAGATCATAAGGTCAGGAGATAGAGACCAGCCTGGCCAACATGGTGAAACCCCATCTCTACTGAAAATACAAAAATTACCTGGGTGTGGTGGCATATGCCTGTAATCCCAGCCACTTGGAAGGCTGAGGCAGGAGAATCTCTTGAACCCAGGAGGCGGAGGTTGCAGTGATTGCATTCCAGCCTGGTGACAGCAAGACTTTGTCCTCCTCCATCCCAAAAAATGCTGCTGCTTCCCCCCAGGTGTCCACAGAGCTCTTCTACATCTGGAAGGAGAAGCAGGCCTAGGGATGGGTGATCAGGCTCCTTGAGGCTCCTCTGTCCACACAGCGGGAGGAGGGCAGGTGGACAATGGGAGGCAGGGCCGGCACACCTGGGACTCCCACGCTCACCTGTGAGCGTTCCCCAGCTGAGAGGTTGCCTCTTGAATCCTGAGAGTGTGAAAATCAGGGACAAAGTTCCCTGCACGAGCCCAGTTCTGCCTTGAAACCACCACGGGGTCCCCAGGACCTGCCGTGACCTCTGGGCCTGCATTTTCTTCTTGTTAGCAAGTGAGATGGACTTCGAAACCAGGAAGGACTTTGGAAAAAGGGCCAGCTTTGTTCAGTCACCCCACTGGTTGGAACTGGGATCTTGGAAAGAAGTTTCAGGGAGGACAATTTTAGTTGATAGGAAGAAAGGGCTCTATTATAACTGCCCCAAATGGGAATGAAGTGCCTTGGGGGTCCTGTCTCGGGACCAAGACTGGGCTGGGAATGGAAGTGTGAGCTAAATCAGAGCCAGCAGAGGCCTGGCACACCTATCACCACTGCCCACTCCATGACCAGGGCAGACATTGCTAGGTGATCACAGAGCCCGGATGAGCCCTCAGAATCCTCCTCAGTGCAGCTTTCCAAGTGGCCAGTATCAGTAGGTAGAGATGGTGTCAGAGATGAAAACTTTTCCTGCACCAGTGACTTTAGGCTGAAGATTCTAGAGATTTAGACGAGTATAAAGGAAACTTACCTGCCAGCCTAGGTTTCCAGGGCAGGTTTTATACTCACCCCTCCTCCCACCATGAGCTCTGATCCCTCGCTCCACACCCACCCTCAGCTCTGACCACGTAGGACTGGGAGTCGGGAAAAGGTCAGCAAAGTAGCAGGCTTCACGTCTTCTCTCTTGGCCAGGCGAGGACCAAAAACCATGTTTGCATGAGGATCGTTTAGTGAGTTAAGGCAGCCATCAACATCTCTCTCATTAGGTTAACCAAAATATGTATCCCCACCCCCATCCCCAGTCTGTGATCATTGTGGATTTTCATGGTGGTGACTTGTGACTTAGTGAAGTGACCTGCAGTCCCGTTCTTGGACCCAGCAGCAGTGGCCAGAGGGTGGGGTCATGCCAGAGCCTGGTGGCCATGTGGGTGGGGTGGGGGGCAGACATCCCACAGAGACCCACCATGGTTCCCAACGAGGACCTCGACCATGATCACCCCCTCTCAGTTTGAGACCCACGGGGCCCACACATGATTTCCCACAGGTGGCAGCGATGAGGCCCCCAGGATGGGGCTCGCCCACCCACCCGGCCACCTCTCCGGGAGCCAGAGCAGCCTGGCCAGTGAGACAGGGACAGGCTCTGCTGACCCGCAGGGCACTCTGCCCCGGGCTGACCTGAAGGGCCCTGGTGAGTACCCGGCTGCTGCCTTCTCCCCTTTCCTGCCCCCTGGCCACGTCCTCTCTCACTCACTCCTCCCAAACTGGAGGGTGGTGGGTGACATGGTCAGTGCCCCATGTTTACCGAGCACTGTGCTGGGGACCAGGTGAGCCAGACCCCATCCTGGCCTGCCAGGAACAGAGAGAGGGGCCCAAATTGGTCATGGTAGTGATTCCGTAGCCACTTGGTAATTACAGCAGTGGTTACCATCCTCAGCGTTACAAAGCATTTCCCCATCTCTCTGATGGCTTTACCATGATACTACATCTCCTGCTCAAGGGCACCTACTGTGCGCCAGGCAGTCAGTCCTCACTGAGCCTCAGCAAGTGCCCAGCCTGAGCTGGGAGCCAGGTGGGACAGCCCTTGCCCTCCCCAAACCTGCCACATGGCAGAGGAAGCCACATCAACCTTTTGGAAACAGAGCCCAGCCTGGAGCTGGCCCAGGTCATTGGAGGGACATTCCAGAACCACAGGGCCTGGGACACGGAGCCCAACCTGCCTGGCGCCTCTGGGGGTAAACTTGCCTTCTTTTGGCAGAGTGGCTGGGAGGCTTATCATCCCCATCTGATGGGCGGAGAAACCAAGGCACAGAGAGAGTGAGGGGAGAATCCTGGGATCCCACTCTGCCCTGTACCTGCTGGCCCCAGCCCTGGCCGGCCCAGGACTGTCCTGTGACAGGGGAGGGGGTCCTTCTTACACTGAGGCCAGAGAAAGCTGCGCAGGTGCAGGATCGGCCTCGTCTCCTTCAAGAAAGAAGCCCTGGGTGGGCTGGGCCCTTCCCTGGCCTGAGGATTCACAGGTCCACACATGCACCAGGGTGGTGGCTGATCTCCCTTCCAGGTGGAGGGCATCCAGCAGCCACTGAGGGAATGCCTCTCCCGCCTCCCACCCCCACTCGATTTGTGGGTACACACACGCACCAGGGCGACAGCCGATCTCCCTCCCGAGGTGTGGAGGGCACCTGGCAGCCACCGTAGGAATACCTCTCCCGCCTCCCCTCCCCCACTCAATGGTTCCCCAGAAGCTGCAGAGCACCGGGAGGCATCTTTGTTGTGGAGCAGACCTGCCCCCTCCTTCTAGCCTCCTGGGGGTCCTCCACAGAGGTCAGAGGTCAGTGTGGATCAGGCAGCCTGAGTCATTGTCCCAGCCCTGCCACCCACAGCCACGGGATCTTGAACAGACCCCCCAGGTTGAACCACATGAAATTGCATTTTTTTTTTTTTTTGAGACAGGATCTCATGCTGTTGCCCAGGCTGGAGTGCAGTGGTGTGATCACAGCTCACTGCAGCCTCAACCCCCGGGGCTCAAGCAATCCTCCTGTCTCAGCCTGCAAAGTAGCTAGGACTATAGGCACATGCCACCAAGCTCGGCTATTTTTTGTGTGTTTTTCAAAGAGGTGGGGTCTCCCTGTGTTACCCAGGCTGGTCTCAAACTCCTGGGCTCAAGCAGTCCTCCCACCTTGGCCTCCCAAAGTGCTGGGATTACGGGCAAGAGCCACCGCACCCAACTGAAATTGCATTTTTTTGGTTCAAAAACAGTGAAATATCAGCAATTCGATACGGTTCACCCTTATATTTGATCTCTCTGCACCCAGTTCTGTTATTGATAAGGTGTCCCTCACAGGGTTCCAGAGAGACAAAATGCAATGTCCACACGGACTGCTTTCCCCTGGGGGTCCTCTGGGGGTAATAAAGGGGAAGCCATGTGGCCCAGTGTGGAGAGAGTGTTCCCAGGCTTAAGAAACAGCTTGGAAAGGATCGGCTCGGAGGAGAATTTTCTATTTCCGTGTCCGTCTGCTCCTTCCGGCATTTTGGGGTTGCTGTGTTGGTCACCTGGGTTGGGAGGGGGCCTGAAGCCCAGAGGGACCGGTGCCTTTGCCGCCATCACACAGCAGCGCAGAGTGGTGTGGTGCTGGTCTCGAGCCAGGGCGCTGTCAGCAGAAGCCTGCTTTCCCCACCAGCCCTCCCTCTCATTCCCAAAGGCCGCGATGTCACTGGGGAGGGAGGGACTCCACCCCTGCTCACCTCGTGGTGGCCTCTTCTTTCCTCCAAAGGTAAAAGACACACCTGGGCCATCCCCCGCTGCTGATGTGGCTCCAGCAGGCCCCTCCAGCTGCCCGGGCTGAGGCGTTGGGTGCATGGAACAGACTTCCCCGTGGAAGATTCTGGAGAAAGCTGGAGCCAGACCCTGCGAGGCTCCTCCCGGACGGGTCCCTGTGCCCTCGCCAGCCACCCTTTTGCCCACGACGCAACAAACCAGTGTTGGGAGCTGTCTGCATCCCCACCCAGTGCCTTTCTGCACCCCTTCTCTCCGGGGGGCCCTCTGCTTCCGCCACCCCTCCCACTGCTGCCCTCAACCCCAACCTTATTTATTGCCCCTGCCCCACGACCCCAACCTACCTTGTGATTATTGTAAGTTTGCTTGGGTCTTGGGTTGGGCTAGGGTGTGGGGGACTTCCCACATGCAGTGTCAGAGGGGCAGCCAGGCGGGGCTTTCTCCATTGCTATATTAATGGCAAGATCAAATGAAACCTAGGGCATGGCCTCCAAAGCTGCGTGTGGCGTGTGGCCCTTAGAGGTGAGCACTGGAGCCAGAGCAGCGCCCACCTCCCCCTCCCTTCAGTGGGGTGTGAGATTCACCCACCTCCCCCTCCCTTCAGCTGTGGGAGGCAGGAGCAGGCCCCCCTCCCGTGGGCTGGCCCAGGACTGCAGGTGAAACCTGGCATTGTTAGGTTTCTTTGGTTTTTGTGTGTTTGTTTCTGAGATGGAGTCTTGCTGTGTTGCCCAGCCTGGAGTGCAGTGGCATGATCTCGGCTCACTGCAACCTCTGCCTCCCAGGCTCAAGCAATTCTCCCACCTCAGCCTCCTGAGTAGGTGAGATTACAGGTGCCCACCACCATGCCCAGCTCATTTTTGTATTTTTAGAAGAGATAAGATTTTGCCATGTTGAGCAGGCTGGTCTCAAACTCCTGGTTTAAAGTGATCTGCCTGCCTTGGCCTCCCAAAGTGCTGGGATGACAGGCGCGAGCCACCGCGCCCGGCCCTATTAGGTTTCTTTGAATCCCCTCACAGCCTGCCTGGTTTTTGCTCAGCCTGTCTTCAGCTTGAGGAGCTGGGAATGTTTCTGGTGGACGCTGTTAACTCACTGAAGAGCAGCCTTCAGGCAACTCCCCGGCCAGGGCACGTGGCTCCCCTCAGCCATTAGTTCACTTCTCTTAGCAGGTTTGGCTTGGCATGCAAATACTTCCGAGTACGGGCAAATGCTTCTGGAAAACCCTTCCCTGAAGAGAGAACGTGTGTGGGGCGTGTGCATGACAGTGTCCACACCTGCTCTCCTCCTGCCTCCCCCACCCCACCCCTGGGTCCCCGGATCCGGAAGGGCCTCCTCCTCTCCAAGCTGGGAGCTCCTGGGCCCCCACCATTCGCTTTTTGTCCTTGCTGCTGGCAAATGGTAAAGGAGTACTCACTTTCCCTGTGACACGTTATGCTTCAGAATTAAAACAATGAAGATTTAAATTTGCATTGAGCCAGTGTGTTGATCAAAAGACCACAATTGCCTGTGTTTCTGAGATGCATCCATAGAAAATGGATGGAAAAAACTGTGATGCATTGACTTGCTGGAACACTTCCTAAGCCGCAGAGAAAGGAGGGGCTCTATCTGTGTGTGTTCATGCGGCTCACACACCTGACGCTACGTGGATAAGCAAGGCCATCTACATACAAAAGGAAGTATTTCACAACACAGATAATCAGAATGAGTTCTACAAACACACGGACGTATGCAAAAATGAATTTTAAATGGACAAGGACTGCTGGTTACATATGGTGCACTGAATATATTCATATTTTCCTCTGTCCCTCAAAACCCCACTAGAATGACGTAAAAGAATGAAAATGGCATAAACCACAAAGAGAAAAAGAAGAGGAACTTTGGAAGCTGAGCGGTATAATCCACTTAATGTCAGCCCCGAAATGTCTACAAAGAAGGAAGCCAAGCATGAACAAGCCTATTTGCTCCGCAGCCTACCCCAAATGCACAGAACGTGGAGGGCCAGGTGTCCCTAACCGGGAAGCCCAGCATGGGCCTGAAAATTGTATTGATTGAAAGAAGTCTTTAGACCTCTGGTCCCGTCTCCCGGCCTGGGGACTGCCCTTCCCTGAGCATGGTGGGAGACAGGTGTACTGCCGGCCAAGGGTGATCTGAAAAGATTCTGGACTGGGGACCCCAAGCCTTGCCAAAGGCCAGGCCAGCGCACCTAACTGAAATCAGGGTGTTAATGGGGAGGCCCTCATTCCTCATTAAAATCCCTGAAAGGGGCTGATAAAAGCCAGGCCTGGTCCCCATCCGTCCACCCCCAAGGCAGAACATTATTGAATTTACCTCTGGAAAACCGATGAAAGAGAACAGATGGGTAGGCCCTGACACTGGGGGTTCTGAAAACAGTGTGCCCAGTCCACTGTGGGACCCCCAGTCCACGAGCCCCACCCACATGTTCAGTGCTTTGCTGCCTTTCACTCACTGTATAGATTTGTATTTTTTATGTGTCAGAAATATTTCAACGTAGGGCCGGGCGCGGTGGCTCAAGCCTGTAATCCCAGCACTTTGGGAGGC